AAAAAAAAAAAAAAAAAAAGTAATTTAAATAATAACTACATTCAGATAGCAGTCACAGTGCACCTGGAACCAGACAGCACCATCTTAGGTTGCCCTCTACTTTGCACACGTGGACAAGCCATCTATGACAAGTAGTTTCTTTTCTTCCTAAGGATGTGCAGCTTCTTTTGTAGTCTACTGCATTGTTTTCAATCCCTTTCAGGAGTGTTATCTGATGCTCAACTGATGTTTCTCGAATGTTAAAATAAGACTTCTTCACCTTGTTTGGTCTGGACACAGGTCAACATTCTTCTTATAGAAGCTTTCATTTATTTTGAAATATTAAAACAATATTTTAGCACACAAAAAAGGAGTTTTCAAGAAGCTTTGCTTTCTTTTGCAGTTAATTCCAGATAAGAACTACAGCTTCACATAAGATGTTAGAAGGGATTAAGTATGTTGCTAAAGGTATAAGCATCCATCTTCAAGAAGCAAGAATAGTGAATAGTAAGTGTAAAGAAACAAACAAGTCCTGTGATAACATCTTTATCATAATTTTAAAAAGTCTATTATGCTTTATGCAAATGTTTAAATTTCCTTGTTAAAAACCTGCTGGCAAGGTTAGGTTCCCTTTCCGTAGCTTTATTTTCAACTTACAATATAGTGACTATTAAATATTGTTTACCCAACTCATTATATTGTAGAAATATATACTTAGTTCTGTTCCTATCACTAAGCCACTACTATTCTAAAAAAGAATGTCTTGCACTGTTAAGTTTAGCAGTCTAAATTCTTAAAGGCCTTGGAATGGTGCTGTCCAATAAGATAACCAGTAGCTACCAACATTTTGGGAGGCTGAGGTGGGAGGACTGCTTGAACCCAAGAGTACGAGACCAGCCTAAGCAACATAGGGATGCCTTGTATCTGCCAAAAAAAAAAAAAAAATTTAGCTAGGCATAGTGGCCTGTGCCTGCAGTCCCAGCTACTCAGCAGGCTGAGGCAGGAGGCCTGCTTAAGCTTAGGAGTTCAGGGCTGCAGTGAGCTATGATTGTGTCACTGCACTCTAGCCTGGGCAACAGAGTGGGGCCATGTCTCCAATAAATAAATGAATAAATATTAAAAAATAAAATTGTGGCTAGTCCAAATTGAAATGTGCTGTAAAGTACACACTGGATTCTTTTTTTCAAATCCTGAGAACCTGTGAAACACACTGAATTCTTAAGATTTAGTAAGGGGGGGGAAATAAAAGATCAATGATTTGTACATAACAATGTAAAATATCAATAATTTCTATATTGATTATATGATGAAATGATCATGTTCTGGATATGTTGATTAAATATACTATTAAAGTTAATTTCATCTTTTACTTTTACTTTTTAAATATGCAGCACTGCCAGATAAAATACAGGACAACCAGTTACATTTTCATTTTATATATTCCTTCATGGGATATATTTAAAAATTATTCATCCTATATCTGAAATTTGAATTTAACTAGGAGTCCAATATTTTTATTTGCTAAATCTGAAAATTTTATTAATATGGCTACTAGAAAAATTAACATAACAAATGTAGCTCCTTATCCTATTGAACATTGCTGCTTTACAATCACCTCGCTGCTTTTTGTTGTTGTTCCAATTAGAATGACTAATCTGTGGAGAATATTTAATCTTAGGCTAGGATCATTAATCGTGATGTTAAATTTTTATACCGGCATGAACAAAATGGCTTGTTACAGACGAAAATATAGAGAAGGCATGCGGACTAGAATGAAAAGTCATAGCTCCAAGCCACTCTGGTGGGGTAGTTAACAGTCCCAGTTCCTCTTATAAGGATAGGCGGTGTCAACAGCAACTATCTGTGAGACCCTAGGCCAGTCACTTTCTCCCCGCCCCCACCCCCCACCCCACGTAGGCCTCGCAGAAAGCTGGGAGAGGTGCGTTTTCAAAACTGGAGCCTCGCGGCCGCTCTCCCACTTACTCCCGGCCCCGCGCTGGAGGAACGAATTCGGACTCGCACCCCAAGACCGCGGGTCTCGCTGCCTTCCTAAGCCTAGCCCGGGCTACCTCGGTCGTCCCTTACTGGCTTGGCTGGTGGAGGCCCGGCCGCCGCCAGGCCCCCGGGACAGACTCCGCCCTCAAGTGCACCCGGGACAGACTCCCGGCCTCAAGCGCACCCGGCCCGCCGCGCGCCCTCGCGTCCCGCCTCAGCTCCGCCCTCGCCAGCGCCACACTGCCTGCGGGCGGGGCGGGCTTTATGGCCCAGGCTCGGAACACTCCCTGGCAGAGCGCCCCATGTAAGGCAGGACCGCGGCGGCGGTATCAGCTCACAAGCCTACCCTCGGCGGACGGTCTCGGGTCGCTCGCTGCTTGGCTCGCCGGGTCGACGGCTTGTGCCCCGCGCGCACGCGCAAAGCCCGCCGCGTCCCTCGACCCGGGCCGCGAGCTGTGGGCAGCAGAGAGCGGCATGCGGGACTACGACGAGGTGACCGCCTTCCTGGGCGAGTGGGGGCCCTTCCAGCGCCTCATCTTCTTCCTGCTCAGCGCCAGCATCATCCCCAATGGCTTCACCGGCCTGTCCTCCGTGTTCCTGATAGGGACCCCGGAGCACCGCTGCCGAGTGCCGGACGCCGCGAACCTGAGCAGCGCCTGGCGCAACCACAGTGTCCCGCTGCGGCTGCAGGACGGCCGCGAGGTGCCCCACAGCTGCCGCCGCTACCGGCTTGCCACCATCGCCAACTTCTCCGCGCTCGGGCTGGAGCCGGGGCGCGACGTGGACCTGGGGCAGCTGGAGCAGGAGAGCTGCCTGGATGGCTGGGAGTTCAGCCAGGACGTCTACCTGTCCACCATCGTGACCGAGGTGGGTGCCGGCCCCGCCCGGGCTGAGACTGGGGCGCGGAGGGGACAGTCCGGCCCTTGAACCCGAGCTCCTCTCTCCCAGATGCGCGCTAGACGCTGCCACTCCCCCTCCCCCACAATCAACACCCTAGTGATGGAGACCCTCCAGCCAGGTGGCTTGGGAACGCTTTGCGAGGTGACCTCCAGCCAGAGTGTGCTCCTCACAGCACAGGTTGTCAGCCTGGCCTCCCATCCTGATGGCCACTTTGAAGAGGGTACCAGGAAGGTCCTGGCGGTCTGTGGAAGATGCCCTATGCCCATGAGTGTCCAGGACTTCCTCTAGTTGGGGTTGGGAGTGGTGAGGAGCACAGCCAGGGCTTGGGCCAGGGGCTATCCCGTTTTTCCTCTAGTCTCTTGGCTTCTTTTTAGAAGAGAGGAAATACTTCTCTTTCCTGGACTTTTAAAGTTAAATAAAGCATGTGTATAAAGCTGCCTTTTCCCTATTTCCTCTAGTTACTCCTTCCCGTACCGTCCACAACCCAAAATGACAGTCTGGTCATGCCCTGTGTTTGCTTTTCCCATGGTCAGTTGTCATTTAAAATCCATTCATCTGAAGATCTGTTCAGGGTGACTTGTTGACCTGGAATGTTTTCTAAGGTATTCTGAGGCAAGGCTGTTGGCCAGATTTAGTTAAAGCATACAATCTTAGGTCACAGGGAGTCGGGGAACCTTTCTCATTTCTCCGCCCCTTGGATTTTCCTTCTGGGTGGTTTTGTCTGTCCCCTCCGAACCTGTTGGAGCAGTTGTTGGAGCTGGATGTAAGAACATGATGTTAATGATGCATGTGTTTTGTGTCTTTCTCAGACACTGGCACTCTAGCTCCCTGAAGTTTTAGCAGCACTGAATAAGCAGCCAGTGAAGAGACCTCCTTGATAGATGGGATCACTGAATGTACGGATGAGGAATTCACAGGTCAGAGAAGGCTTCCCGGAGGAGGAGGCCTCTCAGTGAGTCTAAGGTGTTCAGCTCAGCAGAATAGTAAGCTGAAGGTCTAGATGCAACAACAAAAACCACGTAGTAGGAGGGCAGAGTTTACAGAAAGGGGAGAGTTCATAGAGAGGGAGAGTGCTACAGGCCTTGGCACGGCTTCACACCCTACTGGATGAGGGTGCTGAGCCTCTCTCCTGGAGCCTCAGAAGGGCTTACAGGGGCACTGGAGGTCCCAACTGTGTTGCTTCTTGACATCATCACCCTTCAAGGGAGTCTGAGAGCTACCCTGGGAGACTCAAGTGTGTGTGCACACGCATGATTTTTATAAGTTTGAAAATTTGATGTCCCCAGCACCTGGACCTGCTTTCTCCACATATATTTAGTGGGAGTGTGACCTGAGCCCCACTGGGATTTCTTAGCTAGTGATATAGCCTTAGTGATCAGAAGCTTCATGACTTGACAAAAGAGGCACTCACTGGAGGTAGCCAACTGTGCTTTCAGGCCCATGAATCCACAGAGAATTGGAACCTTCATTTGCCATAAATCCTGGGTCCTAGCCTCACAGTTTGGGTCTGTTACCTTCCTAGAAGCCAGTGAGTACTGTGAAAGCAGAGGCTCTCCTTGGGGTTGCAGGCAGAGGACACAGAGGGGAACATGATACAGGAATCCCTACAAATTCTACTTGGGGCTGCCTAAAGTAGAGGGAGGTAGTAAAGTGAGAAGAAGCTCATGGCATTTCTCGGGGTTTTACATTGACCCTTGAGGGCTTACTTAGTCATTTGTTCCTGCTTTGCTGCCCCCATCCCATGTTGGAATGAGTGGTGGTGGCATTGATGAGCTCCCAAAGGCCAGCTGTGCCAGGGGGTCTGACCTTACCTTGCTGCCAATGTCAGCCTTTTGTTGTTTAATATTTAGACGATTTATTTAGCTGTCTTAGAAGTTTCAAAGGAGTTGTGTGCCCTTTCACCTACTTATATGTTGTCAATCTTTGCAGGGAGGCCAGATTAATACTTAGATCTTTGTTTTGGCCTCCTGGAATGCTTTACTTTAAATTCAGAACTGCTTGTTCTTAGGTGAACAGCTACTGCTGGAAGTTGCTGCATCAACATTCTAATGGCTTTTTCTTTTCTTTTTTTTTCTTTTTGGCACGGAGTTTCGCTCTTGTTACCCAGGCTGGAGTGCAATGGCGCGATCTCGGCTCACCGCAACCTCCACCTCCTGGGTTCAGGTAATTCTTCTGCCTCAGCCTCCTGAGTACCTGGGATTACAGTCACCATGCCCAGCTAATTTTTTGTATTTTTAGTAGAGACGGGGTTTCACTGTGTTGACCAGGATGGTCTCGATCTCTTGACCTCGTGATCCACCCGCCTCGGCCTCCCAAAGTGCTGGGATTACAGGCTTGAGCCACCGCGCCTGGCTCTAATGGCTTTTTCTATGGCCTGTTGTATTTCAACCCAAACCTGGCCTGCTGACCACTGTATCTAGTCCTGTGCCTGCTAAATGTCTATAAGCCTGCCCTCTGCCCCAAATCATACATAAAGGTGTTTGTAAGTACACTGGTATTGAATTATGAGTCATATTATTTCCACTGAAGACTGGAACCTCAGCTGTCCTGTTTGGATTTTTTTTCTTTGTTCAAGTTAGAGTACATACATGCAGCACTAAACTTTGTGGTGGATTTAGATCTTTGCATCTTCCTCAATTTCTGACACAATTCTGGATACAGAGGGAGATTCTCAGGAAGATTTTTACTGAATGGGTCAATGAATAAGAAATCATCTCAGGCCGGGCGTGGTGGCTCAAGCCTGTAATCCCAGCACTTTGGGAGGCCGAGGCGGGTGGATCACGAGGTCAAGAGATCGAGACCATCCTGGTCAACATGGTGAAACCCCGTCTCTACTAAA